CCCCGACAAACTGCGACTTTTGTGCATGGTCCTGTTACGAAACCCTGTGACGCAGACGGATAGAGGGCAGCGGCTGCCAAAGCATCGAAACGTGCAAAAAACGTATGGCGAGCCAGGAAACGGGATTTTTCAAGGGAGGGGACTCCGGGGTGGGTGAGCTACTTATAGTCGGTGAAAAGCTGGAATGAGCGAAGTCACAACGGCCATAGAGTGCCATGCGGACGAGAGAGTGCAGAGAAAAAGAGAAGATCGACGCGTTCAAAGGAATTGAGTTCAAGATGTCCGTAGACCTCGCTCGCCGGTGGACGCTGCCGCAGTGTGTGAACGCAGGCTTAGACTTCACCTTTCAAATCTTGCAGACGTGACTTTCTGCCGACTGTTTGACGTGGCGTTCTCCAGAATTCTACAGGATGGTGTCGTTCTCACACCAAATTCTCGAGCTCACCTGCACGCTCTCATGCTTCACGACGAGTTCGACCTCACGCACGAAGCGGCTGGTGCCATTGAGAAAATCATTTGCGCAGCCAACAGTGGTTGTGACGAAATGATATCAATGTGGTATAACGTAAGTAGATCCTCATAATATATAGTCGATACTGTCGCGATCCGACAGGGTGGTCTCAGGAGGCGTGGAATGAGCTCACCACTAGTTGTCTTCCATCTTAACCCGCCACTATTTGTAGAAAACGCAGGCGGGCACATTCCACGCCTCCTAACACTGGACCGCTGGACTGCGACGACAAAAAGGTTGTGTTCGCAATTACCTGAGGCTTCAGGAAATCATCGAAGAGTTTCTAAACAAGCAACCGCAAGGAATCGATGTTTTCCCCTGCTCATCTACCGAGTTCGAAGTACTAAAAGTGGCTACGGTGTTCGCCGCACTGCAGCACGAGGCATTTGATGAGCAGTTACGTAGTTCTCGGTAAGCAATCATTCGCAGGAGTATACCACTGAGACCTACCAAATAAAAGCGCTGAGTTACAGGCACAAATCAGACCCCAGGTGGGGCTCGAACCCACATCTCCTGCTGGGCAGGCAAGTGCGCTATCCATGGCCGCTCCTATCCTCTCAGCTCAGTGGTTTTTGTGCCATAGCCTCACAGAGCAGCTCCGGTGGCGTAATGAGTATCTCGATTAGGGGGAGATGAGGGTTTGAGTCTCACTTGGAGTTTGGGTTTTATTTGAGCATTCTTGTGATAACTTTCGGAGCGCCCACTACGGAGTCAAACTAAGACACCTTCCAAAGCTGAAGACCTTTCATTAAGAAATGTGCAAATGGCTCATAGACAAAAGGCTCGCGAAGGTGCATGGGCTCTCAATAAAGCCTTTGCCGCCACTGACACCGCCATGCGACCAGTCGTTTGCCTACGTCTTCCGAGTAGGAAAGGTGGAGCTGACATGGACTACGCTTCAAGGTATGAATATTTTTCAAAAGCGTCGAGATATGCTACAGTGTCACAGCTTTTCAGGAGGCCAGGTAGCGATATCTGCGACTGTACGAAACCGAAGTCTGTCGTTCCTGGAGGAGTGCCTGGTGAGGTACTTGCAACGCCGTGGGATTCCTGAAGCGGCACTGGACATGTCCAGAATTGCAGTGGTTTTCGTAAATGATCTCAACGATGCTCCCATCAATCCCAAGCTCTACAACGTTCATGGCTGCCCGAGTCCTGTAGAACAAAGGTGTTGTTTTTACTCGAAATTTTCAAGTGTATATCGGGAGACGGAGAGGGCGTGGCTGCGTACTTAACCTAAGCAGTATGGCGGTGGCTGCGCTTTAGGTAGGATTCTACGGTTTCGCTATATTTACACTTATTTCTCTGTCTAGCCCAAAATAGGATGACAGATATCTCACCTTGATCACCTCACTAAAAACACATCCCACGTCATGCTCAAATGTTCTTAGCTACTCCCCTTTACGGGAAAATTTTCTTCGACTGTTCCGTTACAAAACGCTGCGAAGAATAAGGCTGCGTTCATACTTTGCGGCAGCTTCTACCAGCATACACCAGCGACCATTAGCGTTCCAAGCGTCCGGCAGCGTCAGCGACTAGGAAAGTATAGATATCGATCTAGCGTCTGCCAGCGTCCACCAGCGTTCACCAGCGACTGGGAGTAGAGAGTATGGGGAAGTAGGAGGGTAGCAACAGCTGGATTAGACGTCAGTTGCGTCGGTAGATTCGTTATTGGAGGTAATAGAATTTGTACAACTGGCTTAACAGAATTCCGTGACCTCGGACAGGCGCTGCGTGAAGCCTTTTCCAAGGAGGGTACCTCTATAACGCCCTATTGAGCAACAACTTTACGTCCCAAACGCCTTCCTTGCCCGCCCGCCCACAAATGGACGACCGTTCCTGACGC